CATAATACTAAAGGCATTTTGGATTATGTACACTCTGATGTTTGGGGTCCTTCCAAAACACCTTCATTGGGTGGGAAGCACTATTTTGTAACCTTTGTTGATGATTTTTCCCGAAGAGTATGGGTGTATACAATGAAGAGCAAAGATGAAGTGTTGGGAATTTTTCTCAAATGGAAGACGATGGTGGAGAATCAGACAGGCAGGAGAATCAAGTGTATTCGCACAGACAATGGAGGTGAATACAAAAATGATCATTTCAATAAGGTCTGTGAAAATGATGGCATCATCCGACACTTCACTGTTAGACATACACCACAACAGAATGGAGTGGCAGAACGTATGAACCGGACCTTGCTGGAGAAGGTACGGTGTATGTTGTCCAATGCTGGCTTGGGCAAAGAATTTTGGGCTGAGGCAATTACATATGCATGCCACCTCATTAATCGTCTACCATCTGCTGCTATTGATGGCAAAACACCATTTGAAAAATGGTACGGAAAACCTGCTGTAGATTATAACTCTTTGCACGTGTTTGGCTCAACTGCATATTATCATGTGACGGAGTCAAAATTGGATCCAAGGGCAAAGAAGGCTATTTTTATGGGAATTACTTCTGGAGTCAAAGGATATCGCTTATGGTGTCCTATGACAAAGAAAGTAATATTCAGCAGAGATGTTACCTTTGATGAATTTGCTATGGTAAATAAGGTAACAGAAGATACCAAACAAAATGAAGGTGCTTCTAAGCAGGTGGAGTTTGAGGGAAAATTTATTTTTCCTACACAAGAAGCAGAGGAGGAAACAAATGAAGATTACCCTCTGGAAGGAGAGCCAGTAGAGGAGATTCCAACTCAGGAATCTCAACAACAACTTGAATCAATAGCAACCAGCAGGCCAAAAAGAACAATAACGAAACCTGTTCGTCTCATAGAGACGGTTGCTTGTGCAACCTCAATTGTAGCTGATGATGTTCCTACTACTTATAAAGACGCTGTCCAAAGTTCAGAAGAAGATAAGTGGAGGATTGCCATGAATGATGAAATACAGTCCCTTCATCAGAATCATACATGGAGATTGGCCAATCTCCCGAAGGGAAAGAAAGCAATTGGGTGCAAATGGGTATTTGCAAAGAAGGAAGGATTTCCTAACCAAGTAGATGTTCGCTACAAAGCAAGATTGGTGGCCAAAGGATATGCTCAAAAGGAGGGAATTGATTACAATGAAGTGTTTTCTCCAGTTGTAAAACATTCCTCCATTAGAATTATGTTGGCTTTGGTAGCACAATTGGATTTGGAACTAGTTCAGATGGATGTAAAAACTGCGTTTTTACATGGAAACTTGGAGGAGGAAATCTACATGACTCAGCCAGAAGGATTCAAAGTTGCTGGAAAAGAAAATATGGTGTGCAAACTTGAAAAATCGTTGTACGGATTGAAACAATCTTCTAGACAATGGTACAAGCGATTTGACGAGTTTATGTTGCGGCAAGGGTACAAGAGAAGCAAATACGATCATTGTGTGTATTTGCACAAGCTTAAAGATGGTTCCTTTGTATATCTTCTCCTATATGTTGATGATATGTTGATAGCTTCCAAGAATTCGGAAGAAATTGATAAGTTGAAGATTCAACTGAAGAAGGAGTTCGAGATGAAGGATTTGGGTGAGGCAAAGAAAATTCTTGGCATGGAGATAATTAGAGATAGACGTTCAAAGAAACTCTGTTTATCTCAAAAGGAATATTTGAAGAGAGTACTTCAACGTTTTGGCATAGATGACAAGACTAAGCCAGTTAGTACTCCACTTGCTTCCCATTTTAAGCTAAGTACTACTATGTCGCCAATGGATGAAGCTGAACGAGAGTATATGTCAAAGGTACCATACGCAAATGCTGTTGGTAGCTTGATGTATGCAATGGTTTGCACAAGGCCTGACATTTCACAAGCTGTTGGAGTTATTAGCAGATATATGCACAATCCAGGGAAGGAGCATTGGCAAGCTGTGAAGTGGATTCTACGGTATATTCATAATACTGTAGATGTCGGGTTAGTTTTTGAGCAGGAAGACAATCAGTCTGTAGTTGGATATTGTGACTCAGATTTTGCGGGTGATATGGACAAACGAAGATCAACTACTGGTTATGTGTTTACTTTTGCAAAGGCACCAGTTAGTTGGAAGTCTACTTTGCAGTCAACAGTTGCTTTGTCTACAACAGAGGCAGAGTACATGGCTATTACAGATGCTGTGAAAGAGGCAATTTGGCTTCAAGGATTGCTAAAGGAGCTTGGTGTTGAACAAAAAGGTATCACAATTTTTTGTGATAGTCAAAGTGCTATTCAATTAGCGAAGAACCAAGTTTATCATGCAAGGACGAAGCACATTGATGTTCGGTATCATTTCGTACGAGAAATCATAGAAGAAGGTGGAGTCACGGTGAAGAAAATTCATACTACAGAGAATCCTGCTGATATGCTGACAAAGGTGGTGACTGCGGTCAAGTTTCAACATTGTTTGGATTTGATCAACATTGTTGAACACTGAAGATTGAAGATGAAGACACAACCAAAATTTGTTATTGAGAGAGAATTGAAAATGTGGAATTTTGCCAAGGTGGAGATTTGTTGAAGTTTGGCAAAATGCCAAAGTCCCACATTGGTTGGGAGTTAAGTTTGGGGGGGATTTTTCCCCTATAAAAGAAGGCCTAATGTTTAGGATTGAAACACACCTCTCATTTGCCTTCTCATCTGTTTAAGGCATTTGTATCTTCTCTCTTTAGTATTATTTCACTTGTATTTTGGAGTGGAATAAAATATTTGGTTGTGTCCGAGGAGTAGGCAGAATTAGCCGAACCTCGTAAATTCTGGTGTTCCCTTTATTATTGCTTTATTGTCTTATTTATTATTTGGTGGCTGTCATAATTTTTGGTATAGTAATTGTGACTTATTCACACTCTATACATTTGGCTTCCGCAACACTTAGGACCTTTAATATCTTTTAGTTGGATTCTGTAGAGCATGGTGGCTCTATTATTATCAATAAAAGCAAATGGGAATCACGAAAACTTTATTAAAAAATGTGAAAGGTTGTAAAAAGTGATGTCGTTGAAATAAAATTTGCATTTCTAGCGTCATGCAAATGCGTTAAATACGCACTAGCAAGTACGTGATAATTTCACTTCCATAATTAAACTAAAAAGGAGTGCTTCCATAATTCTTCAACACTTCCATAATTCATTAGTATACTGTTTCCTAATTGTTTTTCATACTGTTTATATAATTATATTACTCCAGCGAGTTCTCAGGTGAATATATTACTCCCTTAGTTTCGCTATGTGTGATACTATTTCTTTTTTGATTTATGCTTCAAAAAGAAAATCTTGTTATATTTAGATATAATTTAACGTTAATCTTCTATGTTTATTCTTAATGACATAATAATTTTATAGTCACAAAAATGTCATAGCATATTCTAAAATCACAAATTTTTTTCAAAAAAAATTCTTAAATTTTATGTCTAATCAAACGTTGTAAATCAAGCAAAGGGAGTATTTGGTATATAGGCCAATTGGTTAGCTTTGTTTTGCGGGAAAAAAAAAATAAGAAATAGCCTTATTTACAACTGCTAATTGAAAATTAGTCAATTTCAAAAATAATTGAATTTAGTCGTTTTTTCATGTAAAAATAAAATCGAACAAAAACAACCTTAAAACCCCTTAAAAATCCGGAAAAAAATTCAGCATAATATGGTGGAGTTCGAACTTTTTACATGAGATTCCAGCATAATATGCTGGAATTTCTTAATGTGCTGGAGTTCCAACATAATATGCTGGAAGTTTATACACAGGAGTTCATTAATCCAATATATTATGTTGGAACTTTTCGTGTTTCAGCTAGAGTATTTTTGTCTAGATTTTAGCTCCGCAAAAAATAGTAACTATTTTTCAATAATTTTGAAAATACTGATTATTTTCCAATTACTCGTCGGATTAGCTCATTCTATTTTCACTTAGGGTGTGTTTGGTATGAAGGAAAACATTTTCCGGAAAATATTTTCCAATTTTTCCATGTTTGGTTGGCTTAAATATTTTGGAAAATATTTTCCTTATCAACTCATTTTCCTCTAATTGGAGGAAAATGTTTTCCTTATCAAGAGAAGGGAAAACATTTTCCAAAACTCGTTCTCAACCTTCCCCATCCTTACCAACCCACCCCACCAGCTCTCTCCAAAAAAGGCTTTTTCTTNCAAAAAAAATATTTATTAAATATATATTTCAGTTTTAGTTTTTTTTATTTATCAGTTTAAAAGTACAAAATTTTACAAGTTCCAAAGTTATGAGTCCGGAGGTTTATGTGTTTGGATGTTTACGGGTCTAGAAATTATAATGTTTACGGGTTCGAAATTTCGCGGTTTCGAAAGTTTATGAAATTTGTGGATTCGGAAGGTTGTTGGTTTAAAAGTTTATAACTTCATGTTTATTATATCTAAATTATTTATGAATATTCTTGAGAAGCCATTTTCCTTAATTTGCCTACCAAACAACGGAAAATGAATAAGATTACTACTTGTTTTCTTAAAAAATATTTTCTTGGAAAATATTTTCCACGGAAAACATTTTCGTTATACCAAACACACCCTTATTTTGCGCTACTTCTCAAAATTAAGCTTTTCTCTTTTCACAAAGGTTTGCGTACAGCAAACTAATCTATATATATATATTTATAAAAGTGGGAATGAGAAAGCTGATGTGGCACATCCCAAATACCAGCATTTCTATTTATCTTTTCCCTGGGTTTTTTTTGCTTTCTCCTTATTTTTTTCATTTATTTAGTTTTAAGTGCAAAAACTCAAACGACACTTCTTTACTTCTCTTGGAATAGCCTACGTTCTGCCAGCTTTTATGAACCAAAGTAACGTTTTGGTTACTCATCATCAAGACCTATAATGACTAATCAGAATTAAAGGACATCAGAATTTGAAAAGCCTATCACTAGATAAATTGGAGACTATAAAATTGATATTACAATGTGGTTTCTCTTGAATTTCTTATTCGAGTTCTTCATTACAATCAACTAACTTCCTAGATTAGAACTAAAGCATTATCCACTAAATAAGTTGATTCTTATACAAGGACATATGAATTGTTTGCATTACACGAAGCTTCGAAAAGCGAGATGTCAGCAAAAATTTGTGAAACTGTCGATTTGCTCACACAGAAATTTCCAGTATTCGAACTTCGCGATGACGACTTTCCGGTTACGAACGAACCCTTCCCCAAGGTATTCTATAGGTTTGTGATAGTCTCTTTATAATCTCTCTGTAAATTTATTGTGCGGCTTTTCCTTTCTTCGTTTTCATCTTTAAAGCTTTACTTACTTTGTTTTTTTGTACTTTCTTTTCAATTCAACGCAAAATAATATGGTGATCAATATTCTCAGAGAATCATTCCAATTTTGTGATACAACTGCTCTTATCTCTATGATCTTATCGCCTTCAATGGTATCCTCTGTGACTCCCCTCTGTGCTAAACTGATAAGAGAGGGTGATAAGATGTTGATACAGTAGAAATATTTATTTGGGAAATAATCAAAACTATAAAAAAATTGAAATAAAAACTGGGTTAAAAAAAGGATTTGTTTAAGTAGTTATTTTGGCGGGATTCAGTATGCCATGGAGAGGGTTGCAAATTTTGAGGGTGCAAGAAATTAAAAGGAAAAGAAAGAGAACAGTAAAAGTTAAAGAAAAAAATAAGGAAAGGAAGAAAGAAATGAGAACGGAAAGAAAACAACTGCAGAAAATTCGAATTGCGAATCACTTTTGATCGCATTTTTTCCTCTTCTTTAATTTCTATATTGATATAAAGTAAAGAACAAAAATTAAAAATCAAGTAACTTATTTTACAAAAATCTATATTTATAAAAATTGGGGAAGTTATTATTAAAACTCAAGATAGTTAAAGATGTCTTTTTTTTTTTGTCAAAGATAGTTAAAGATGTCTAATGATTATGTGAATAGTATAATTTTAAACTATTGAGTCTGAGCTTTTTCCATTTTCCTTTTTATTTACAAGTATATCATTTACAATTTATTTTAATTTTCTCTTTGCAGGTTCACAAGCATATACTTTCATGATCTATTTGATAGATTCTGGAGGTTTAGAACATACACTCGCGTGCAATATTCTAATACTTACGGCAACATTAAACATCATTTCAGTCAATACAATTTTCGTCTCACTTCTTATACTTATTTAGAGAAAAGAGATATATATCACCAAATTAGGAAGAAAAGGGAGGGATTTTGTTTTATTTTATGCATTGCAAATCAACCATCGTATTTTATCAGTATTTAAAGCATTTGTTAAAGTGATGTGTTGGAACATTTGGATGCCCCTATCTTGTAAGTTGTAACATGTATAGGGCTTGAAGTATGGAAATTGAGCACTTGGTTTGTAATTGAAAATAATTTATATTAGTAATATAATCAATTCATAGGATTAAATTTTGTATGCATATAAATAAGATTTTCTCTTTTATCTCAACTAAATTTAGAAGAAAAATAATAATTATATACTACATACATTTACTATTGTTTCTAATAATTGCGCGAAACGCAGAAAAATTAACTAGTTAAATATTAAGGGACTAACAAAGTAAGTGGCTTTACTAGTCATGTTGAACTGACCCTCATCATTGCTGCTAATTAAGATTCTCCACAATTGACCATCTCTTGAAATTTCATGGGTACTCTCTAATTTAATAAAACTATATGATCATTAATGTCAAGGAAAATTTACTTCTATTTTTTGTTGCACATAAAAAGATTATGCATGTGTTCTGTATATCCTTGGTCAGCCTAATCATTATTATAATTAAAGAAAACAAGATATCATGCCCATGTATAACCACACAACTTAAATCATCAAATAAATTTCGTGAATATATTTGCTTTAATTCCAGATGAAAAGGAAGATATTCGATAGCAACCTGATGTAGTTTGTGTCCTACTCACCTTTCCTTTTTAGCATTTTCCCACTTTCTTACGCTCTTTATTTATTTTTCCTTGTCGGTACAACTTGTTAGACAATATCAATCGAATATTTCTCATTTCCTTATGTTTATTTGTGTATATTATCCCTTAGTGGCACGTAATAATAACCAACATCTGTAAATAAAGATATCGTAGGACCCTTCCTTATTATCATTAGGTTTGGAGCCAAAACATTGAGTTCGATGTTGATAGTGCCTCCACTTTTTTTTCTATAATGGAAGTAGAAATTTTTTTATCATACCCCTTACTCGATTATTGTCAACAAAAGAACATGTAATGATGGAAACACAATAAGAAAAAGGTTTTTGTAAGTAAGATTAAATAAAATATACTATTACATTTGTAGTGTCATGCAAATGCTTTGTATACTTAATATGTGATCGTCATCCACGAATTATAATTAGAAGTTTAATTAAAGACAACAGGATCAAGTGTTTTTTTTTCTTTTTATCCTTTATGCAAATTAAAGATCCCTCCTCTGAAAAATTAACCTAAACAGCCACCCACAAGATAGTTTAAAATAAAAATAGTCAGTGAATGTAAAGACAAGTATAATCCATCTATATTATGTATATAATTGTGCATAATCAGTGTATAATATATGTATACCGGCTAAAAAAATAAATATTAAATCCGTCTAGCAATTTATGCAAATATCTCCTTTTGAAAAATTATTCAAAACAGCCACCCACCAGATATTTTAAAATAAAAATAGTTAGTGGATGTAAAAGACATGTATAATTTATGTATATTATGTATATGTGCATAATCAGTGTATATTATATGTATACCGGCTCGAAAAAGTGAATATTAAATCCGTCCGATTATCTATGAAAATATCCCCTTTTGAAAAATTAACCTGAACAGCCCCCCACCAAATAGTTTACAATAAAAATAGTCGCGGATGTAAAAGACATGTATAATCCATGTATATTATGTATATGAAATAAGCAGTGTACAATATGCTTAAAGAAAAAATAAACATTAAATCCGGTCGGCTATTTATGCAAAGATCCCTTATATTTTTGCGGTTCTTTTCAATAATATCATTCTGTCTAAGATTTTAAGTGTATTTTTTTTTAATGTCACTGACATTTCTGGTGAATCATTGTAGTAGTTGGTAGGCTAGTTACTTAAGTTTCTTTTGTCCTAATGATCAATTAGCAAAGGTGGCTAATTATCCATAGGAATTGAAAGGAAAGTACTAAAAATAGACTTTTGAACTAACAATCATCAAGGTCATTATCACACTGTCTGAGATGATTGATTAGCTAGAAGAAGTTGATCTCAAATTACTTTCTCATTGTTTAGCTAGCATTTGGACATAGGTTTGATTGATCTTGCAAAAATGAATTTTAAAAAATGAGATGAAAAATAATTTTTAAAAGTTGAAATTGTACGTTTAGACATGCATTTTACTTGAAAAGAATTTGAATTTTTATGAGCAGAAAACTTCAAAAACTACTCTAGAAAAAATGAGTAAAATCTATAAACAAATAGATATTTGAAAAAGAACTCCCAAATTCTATGGCCAAGAGCGTAGTCTTAGGAACTTCAGAATGTGTATTTTGACTAAATGGCGTTGAGGAAATAATCTTCTATGACACTTACAATTTGAATAGAAAAAAATAACCTAACAAAAATCTTATGCATTTTATTTATCTATATTCTATGTTATTTTAACCAATTTCACCATGTACTAAAACAAAATTTGCAATGAGCATTGGACTAGTTTATATGGTCAAAATCGGGCTTGTCCCTTTTTATGATTAATCGAGACCAGAGCGTGACAGGCCGAGGTTCGACCCATGTCATACCGGACTGTGACATGGAATTAGATTGCCAAGCTCGTGACTCAAGGACTGATCGAGATCGAGATCAGCTAAGATCGAGATCGAGCGGGATAAAGTTCGAGCGAGATCGAGGAAGGCTTACCAAGCCAAATAACATAAAACCGAAATATCCGCAATCGGGCGAGGATCACGGCAGATATAACGACACGCATCAAGAAGAGGCCGATTACTTAGTTAATCATGGGTTTTCTTACTATATTTAGAATTGTACCAACGGTAGGACTCCCCTACTGTATAAAGGGGGTCTGATCATTTGTAAAAGGCATTATATTCACATTACATAAAGCAATACATCGTCTTCTTAAGCTCTCAATACTTTATTATTCTGTTCATACTTTCCAGAAGTGCTTGTTTAATTCGGGGGTGACCTAGCTCGAGGATCAAAGATAGCCATCTCATTTAGTTTACTTTATTCCTATTTTCAGTCAATTTCATTATCAATATTGCATTTCTTTCAGTTTGTGTTAAGTAAATCACGTGTCCTTACTACCAAAATATAAATTAAATTGTTATCAGTTTTTAGGGTAAACAACTAGAGATACATTATTGAAGATATTTATCGAGGGACAAATGTACAAGCTTAGGATGCTTTATTTTCTTATCTACGATATTAAGTTTCACGTACATAGATATTTCAACTAGAAGGGCCTTGAAACATGCATCTAATAGACAGCTTACAATTCTTATTTTTTTCCCCAAGAAAGAAAAGAAGATCAATCTGAATGCGCTGCTATGCTAAGTAGGATTCTCTAGAATTAGCCAATTGCCCTTTTAAAATTTCATGATTAGTCTCGTAACTGTCAAGGACAATTTATTGTTGTCACGTAAAAAAACCTTACATGTGACTTTATTGATTGCCTTACTCTTTCAATCTTTTTTTCATTCTTGGAAAGCTATCAATTTCGTGAAATTGACTTCACATGCAATGAGAAAAAATATACTAGAAAACGAAATTCTAAGAAAGGAAATCCTTAGAAAAATATTCATCATGCCCATGGATAACCACCACATATCTAGTAGGGAATATTTAATATATCATTAAATAAATATGGTTAGCTCGTTCAATATGAAAAAGAAAAAAAGTCCCTCTACCAGAGAGCTTATGTGTTTATTATAATTAACATCTCTAAGAAGCACGTGATAAACATCTCTAAATTTTCTAAGGACCCTACCTTAATTTCTTTTGGGTTAGAGCCTATAGAGTACGACGTTGATGGTGGCTCCACATTAATTTATTTCATGGCTATAGAGTAAAGAAGGTTATCATGTCCATGCTCGATTATTATCAACAAAAGCAAATGGAATTAATGATGGAAAAATGAAAAGGAAAAAAACGTTGTTGAAGGTGAGATCGGATTTTAATTAATAAGCATTGCATTTATAGCGTCATGCGAATGCGTTATATACGTAATAGTGTAATACGAGGAAGCATAAGACTTTCAATTTTACATGTAGTTTTTTAAATTGCTATTATGTGGAGTAGTTTCGTTTCTTTACCATTTTGGCTTTCATCAACGGCTCTTCCATAATTCTGCACTAAGATGTTNATATATATATTATGTATGTTATATACAAAAATTATACAAATTTTATATATTTTTTCAACTATCAGATATAAATAGTTTATGATGCGAGCTAAAAATTATACTTGTGCCTTAGAGTCTCCAATGCTCTCCCAATCTTCCGTAGGTCAAAAGTCCTTTGAAAATTATATTTTGGTGTATTTAAACTATATAGGAACAGGCCCATAAGAAACTATCTTCTCTGAGCTGAAGTGGAATAGTTGGACAAAAAATTACACTATCGCGGCGCCCTGGACGGCGCACCATTCGTGACATTAGTGGGAAAGTTAAGAGGTCTATTTTTTCCACTATACATGAATTTTGCACTAGCATGCACCCCATGCACGACGCGAAAGGGTATTGCATTTATTCTCAAAATAATCTTCTTCTGACCTTTTAACATCCAGACTTGGTCCTCGATCCCCGAACGTGATCCTGACTTAATTTCTTGGGCTTCTACTCAGACTTCAAAGCTCTAAATCATCATTTTCGCTCCAAACGTGCTTCTTCACTCGAAATCACATCCTACACAGCATAACACACATAATAAGTATAAAGTACTAATAATTTGGCTCAAATACATTCAAAGTGTAGTAATTAGAGTGCAAAATACAGCTAAAATACGGGTTCCTAACCTACCATCAATACTTCACACTTAAACAATTGCTTGTCCCCGAACAGTCAAACTACACTTCAAATATAGACAACATTTTCAAGCAACTCTCCTCACTCATCCTGCCAAGAATAATTAAAGCAAACTAAGCACCATACCGTAACATCCTATTAGATTTAAAAAGAGCAGCTTAATCATTAATATTATAATTAAAGAAAACAAGATAGCATGCCCAAGTGTAACCACACAACTTAAATCATCAAATAAATTTCGTGAATATATTTGCTTTACCGGATGAAAAGGAAGATATAAGATAGCAACCTGATGTAATTTGTTGCTTACTCACATTTCCTTTTTGCATTTTTCCCACTTTCTTACGCTCTTTCTTTATTTTTC